GCGTAGCTTTGCGCCTTTCCTGGAGCTCCCTTGGTAGCCCATACTGGCCTCAAACTCACAGAGATCCACCTGGCTCTGCCTCCTGAGTGCTGGGATTAAAGGCGTGCGCCACCACTGCCCGGTAAGAATCTTTTTTATCCACGATAACAAGGGATTTTTTTTTCCTGAAAGATACAGAAGGTGTGGAAAAATAATAGTGGGTCTTAGCAGCTTGCCTACAGCTAAAATACAGTGTCTTAGCAGCTCATCCGAGGCTAAGATGCAGGCATCTGGGGATGGAACCTCTCAGCTCTTCATGTCTATTGCACCTCTTGGCACAGAAGTCTCCATTGCAGAAACTTGACTGTTTTCACTGCACTTTGGGTTTAGATCATTCTATTCTGCGTTCTGCCCTCTAGATTTCAATAGCATTCTTTGTAAACAGAGTTTTCTAGCACCACACCCGTGATGGAAGCAGAGCATGTTTGGTTGCCTGGTGCACTGATGAAGGTGAGAATTGATATGGAAAGATGCCAAGTCGGTGAAAATGATGGGGGTGGGGGACAGTGGTAGAGGAGTTGAAGGTGATGAGTAGACCTGAGAAGGGCATGAGTAGATATGTACTACCCCCCCCACCTCCACCCACCCCCCACCCCCACCCACCCCCCACCCCTGCCCCGGGGGTGTGTGGATTGTTTCACTTTCTTGACTAACTCAATAATGTCGCAGGTTCACATGTAGGAAGATAGTCTTGTTTTGTTTTGTTTGAGACGGGGTTTCTCTGTGTAGCCCTGGCCGCCCTGGAACTCACTCTGTATGTAGACCAGGCTAGCCTCACACTCACAGAGATCCAACTGCCTCTGCTCCCTGAGTGCTGGGATTAGAGAAGTGCACCACCACCACCTCGCTGGAAGATACTCTCAGCAGAAGTCTGGGAGTCTGTTCCTGAACCATTATAATGAGAAACTGTTGTATTCACATTGTGAAACATCCTTCCCGAATGGACGTTCAGTCCTTTACAGTTAGGCCACTTAGTTGGGGAACTTAATTTTAGTAAATAACACCAAGAAAACTTAAAGTCTTGCAGGAAAAAGTTGAAGGCAGGGAATATATGGATTTTTCCCACTGCTTATACACAAAATCCTTCAGGTATACACACAATAAACCACTTTATTTTTCGCAATGGCAGCACCCTTTGGGAAAGAGTTGTGTCAGTGACAAATGCCACTGAACCAGTGATTCTCCGTTGTCCTGACGCTGTGGCCCTTTAATACAGTTCCTCATGTCATGGTGACCCCCCCCCAACCATAACATTATTTTCTTTGCTACCTCCTAACTGTCATTTTGCTACTGCTATGAATCGTAATGAAAATATCTGTGTCTGTTCTGATGGTCTTAGGTGACCTCTGTGAAAGGGTCATTGGACCCCCAAAGGGGTCCCAGCCCACAGGTTGAGAACCACTGTTCGAAACTCATCACTTTATCAGACATTTCTAAAAGTACATTTCCTCTAATGTACAGTGCAATAGAAAGGACGTGAAAGGAATGGGAATAGAAAGGAAACACAAGATCAGACCGATGATGTGTCCTTCGGAACTCAGCTTGACTTATGAGCTGTGTGATGTTGAGCAAATTGTGTAGCATCACTTGAGCTTTCAGCTCCCAGTTTAGGGATTAAATACAATTAACAATCCATGTATTTGCAAAACTTCTAGTAATTTGCCTAACAGAATTAATGATCATGCATTGTTCACTTCCATCCGTCTCTATCTCTAATCGCTAAAGATGGAAATAATTGAATCATAAACCCAATTGTAATTCATTTTCTTTTCCTCATTAAATATCTGAGTGCTTTCAAATACTGCCTCTCATCAGTTGGGGTGGGTACAGGGCCCAGACACTATAGTGATATCCACGGATCTTGCTTTTAAGGTTCATGAAGAGCGGGTAATGACGGGCCTGTAAATTATTAAATGATTAGATTATGGAGTAAAACCCCAGTATAAAATATTATGAGAACCCACCGGGAAGGGGAATATCACGAATCCACAGAAGAGTGGGAAAGGCCTTGAGGAAGCAAAGGCTTTAGCTGGTCCTTAAAGACAGGGGTCCAGAGAAGGGAAACGGCACAGTTTAGAGATCAGAAGCGCGTGGTTCAGCCTGATGCAGGGATGAAGCTCATGAAAAGACAGATAATTTTGGGGCAGGGAACTTTGGGTTAGGTGACTGAAGGTTTTGAAAGTGCCATGAGGAACTTGCACCTGATGTAGTGAGACATCCATACAGGTACTCAAAGGTTTTTGAAGTGTTTGTTCGGTTTTGAGACAAGGTCTTACATGTACCCCAAGCTGGTGTCAAACCCGTAACTCCCGAGTCCTGGGATTAGCCTGTGCCACCACGCCCAGCATGGTGGGTTTTGAAATCATGGGGTCTTGAAATGATTATTTTTAAAAATTATTTTTATTATCGTAAGTTATATGTATGTGTCTGTGCACATGAGTGCAGATACCCACAGAGCATAGGGTTCTCAGATGCCCCTGGAGCTGGAGTTACAGATGGCTGTGAGCTGCCTGATGGGGTGTTGGGAACTGAAATGTACTTCTTCTGGAAGAGAAGTACATGTATTTAACCACTGAGCCATCTCCCTAGCTCCTGAAGTGATTCTTCTATCAAACATGTTGGCTGTTCCTTCTAGACTCATGTTCCTCTGTCACTAAATGTGCATGTCACCTAGGTCTTCATTTGAGCTGCTAAGGAGGCTGAATGGGCAGATGCGAGAGAGGAATCCAGCAGTCCACCCAGGGAAACGCTTCCATCAGAATGGTGTCTCAGTGCTGGGGCTTAACTTCCCACTCTTAGAGCAACTCATTATATTGTGTTGTCAATAGCTAAAACGTCTGTCTAATTTATAAAATCATGTCAGGAACTCTGTCAAAGGTCCTACTGAAATCGAGCTGCACCACCCTTCCTGGTGCCAGTAAAGAAAAACTAGGCACTTCCTGGTTTCAATGAGTGTGCACTGGTGTTCACACACACGGTATAGCATTTAGTAATGACCCTAGGATTCCAGCAGGAAACCATAGCAAGTCATACCTTTTAGGAGGAGATGATCAGTTTCTTACCATAAGGTAAGGCGAGGGGGACCTGAAGATGGCAAGGCTTGATGCTGGAAGGCTGCGACAAACTCGGCTTTAGATCTTGGATTTGAAGGGCTGGCATGGCACACATCAGCAAAGAGTGATCCTGAGTAAGACTGAAGAGTCCAGTAAGTGGGGCTCTATCATCCCACACGACCACGAGGTAGCAAAGTATGGGATTAAATAAGTATGGCATTGCATTCCACAAGTTCTAATGTCTAGCAAAGTACTTTCTTCCCCTACTCCAGGGAGCTAGGACATTGTCCTGAGACAGAGGTTGAGCAACTAACTCCTTCCCACTTAGAGAGCATCCTTAGACTCTACAGCATCAACCGCAGCCCTTACAGGGGTTCGGCTAAGACTATTTTGACGGTGCAGAGTTCCTAGAGGGTACATGTGTGTGGTGCAATGTATTAAATGCAGAGGCAGAGTGAGAATCCATGTCTTCTACTTAAGCCAGGCATTAAGGAGATTTTCCAAAACAGAAGAGGGGGCGGGAGGGAGGGAGTAGGGAGATGCTCTTCTGATTTTTGAAGATGTTTGGACAATGGTTACTTTTCATTTTGTTTTGGTTTTTGAGATGAGGTCTTATTCTATAGCCTAGGCTGGCTGAACCTCACAAGCGTCGTCTTGCCCTAGCCTCCCAGATACTGGGGTTCCTGTTGTGAGCCGCTGCATCTGGCTGCTTTTCATCAAAATCCATTATACAGGGCTGAAAGATGGCGCAGCAGATAAAGGTGTTTGCTCCCAACCCATGGTGGAAGGGAGAAGCATCTCCAGAGTGTCGTCTTCTGCAGACAGTGACGTAGGCGTCCTTTCCAGTTTGAAGGTAATGACTACACTTACCTCCTGGGGTGTTTGGTTGTATGCCTTAATTTCCTAGGAACTCACAATTGTACAGCAGGTGAAGCACTGGCCTTTGGAGACCAGTTGGGTAATTCTTAGGTGTGATGCTGTGATTCAGACCTCTAAGTTTCTCAATCTGAGATGAAGGACTAAGATGGCTAGAGAAAATGCCCCAGACTAGCCTGTGCTGTAGCTGTTACCACTTCGAGGGGCCGAGGGGATAAGAATGGCTTCCTTCCTTCTAAGTCACCTGCTTGCTCTTCCTCTGATAGCGCACTTCCAGGATTCCTATTTAAGGAGAGGTTAGGGGAAACAACCCATTGAATAAGGGGTTCGGTAACATTTTTGTTAAGGTGTATTTAACACACACACACACACACACACACACACACACACACACACACACATACACACACCACACTTAGAATGCATGCTTGTTTTTGAGGGTGTTCTTGGTTATAAGAGGGTGCTAAGGACTTCCAAACCCTCCCACTGCCGAGAGGACATCTATTTTTAGTGTGGAAGCCTTTGAAGTGAAGGAATAGCAAGGTTTGATAGGGTTTTGGCCAGGACTCTTTTGCTATTGTCGTTTGCATTTGTAAATCTATATTCTGCCCAATGAGGATTAATCAAAAAATAAACTTGCAAGAAGATTTTTTTTTTAAGTTTGAAAAAGCCGAATAAGTGGTAAGAGTAAGCACAGGGGCAGACTATATTAGCTCTGGGGTCTAAAGCTAATCGATAGAGCCCACGAGGAAACAGGCAATTAGGTCAAAGAAAAACCAAAGGTTGAAGCCGTGGGGCTGGAGAGATGGCTCCGTGGGTAGAGCACTGGCTGCTCTTGCAGTGGGCCCTGGTTCAATTCCCAGCACCCACAGGGTGGCTCCCACCCATCTGTAACTCTAGTTCCAATGAACCGGACCCCCTCTTCTGACCTCTATAGACACCGGGTGCACATATGGTGCACATACATCCATGCAGGCGAGACTCGTACACACAAAACAAAAGCAAATCTTAAAGAGAGGTTGAGGCGAGCAATTTATCACAGAATCATTGTGCTTTTATTGCAGTCACGGTCAGCTCAATAGGATATAAGGTGTGGCCTCGAGGAACTTGCAACATAAACAGGAAGACAGGGGGATGTCTGAGATGTTCCTTCAAGTATGGTTTCGAAACTATTGTGTAGAGTTTATTGTTCCTGTTGGTTACTCTCTGAGCCTAATTACGGAAGGAAAATAGAAGGAAGAAAAAGAGGATGAGGAGGAGAGATAATTAGATTAAAACACAGAGGCTTTTCAACTACCCGCTCCCAGTAATGTGTGGACGGCTGGCTGGCAGGCAAGCTGGAGCCGAACACCTTATTATGTTGGTGAGGAAGAAACTGAGGTCTGTCCAGCTGAGGGTCCCACCTGATGACCCCGAGGACCAACGGCAAGGCCAGGCTCTCTGATTGCCAGGCCAGAGTCACAACACAATCAAGCACTTGAATAATGCTAAAGTACAGTGTGCTCACAGTGTACCGAGGAGCCCAGCACCCAGTTTTTGAGTAGACAGGCGGCTTCTATAATTGTTTGATCACCTACAACAGATTTTTTTTTAGCATGACAGTTTCCCTCCGTCTTCTCAGTTACCAAGACGTAAGTTATTAATCTCAAATCCTTAGTCCTTGTAATGACAGACCAGGAGGGCTCTTTAAAATTGTTAATTTATGTATACCCACGCTTCCACATTCATATGCTAAACATAAATGAACGGTTTTCAAATTTTCTATTTCTCCTTTGGCCTCTCTCTTCTGATTTCCGTTTCCCGTTTCATCTCTACCTGTTTTTCCTCTCATGACTTCAAAACTCATCAGGAAGCCAGTTTCCTCTCCACAGATTTCTATTTCTGTCAATGACACCATCATTCTTCCAGTCACCCAGGTCTCAAATCCTGGCATCACCGCTTTCTTCTTTGCCAATCGAATGGGTCACCAATTTCTGTGGCCTCTTTCTGAAACATGCCTCTCATTTCCAATTTCCTTTAAAAAAAAAAAAATTCCATGCTGTACCTTCTAACTCAGGTCCTCACAGTCCTATCTGTAAGCAGGAAGTGACAATACCTACCATTTATCCTGTTTCCATTTGTAGGGAACTCTCCAAATCACCACGAAAATGAATGGGGGACGGGGTCGGGGGAAGAATGTGGCTTACAGTCTTAAGGCTTGTAAGCCACGTGCTCCATTATAAAGCAATGCCCTAAAACACAAACACCCATTTTACTCCATTTCAACTTTCCCCGTCCTCCAGGTGTGTGCATGACTCAATTCTAATTCAGAAAAACGTCTCCCCCACGTTTGCGGCCTCTTCTCTCTTTCCTCTCCAGTTCCGTCCTCTCCAGTCAATTTCTTTTCTTCCTAAAGCCCTGTGACACTGTTTTGTTTTTCTTCTCCCACACTTGCCATGGACTCTGTCACCTCAGTGTGAAATCGCAGGCACTTTATCTTAAAGTCACCAACCAGAGCAGCAGGGCCGTGACTCCTCCTCAAAATCCCCAAAGTACCTGTTGATGGTGCCAACTGAGGCACCTGCAACCCTGTCTCCATAGACGTCGACTCCCCTCTTGGGTCCCCTTCCCAGCCAGCGCATCAGGTCCCGCGCGGGGCATGCAGCCCCTGGGGTCTCCGTGACCCCGCGCCCGGGCCTTCCCGCTGGGCGCCGGGCCGGGCGTGCCGGGAGGCTGGGCGCCGGGCGGCGGTTCCGCGCCTGGAGGTAGGTGGTGCTGTTGCCGCGACGTCTTCCTCATTGGCGCCGCGCGGAGAGGCGGAATGTTCAACTCCTGACTCCGGCGGAAGCGTGGGAGCAGCGCGGGCCGCCGTCCCCGACCCCCGCCGCCGCTCGCACCCGGCCCGGGAGCAAGGTAGGGGCCGCGGGGGACCTGGGAAGCGGGAGGGAGCACCACCCTGGAGGATCGACGGGGCCCGGGCCTGCGGGGACCCGGCAGCGCGGGTGCGCGAGGCCCGGGGCTCGGCGGGCGGCTGGCCTCGGCCCGTGCCCGGTGCCCTGGAGCCCCGCTGCCCCCTGCCGCTGAGCCGAGTGCGGCTTGGGCAAGTCCGGGGCAGTCCCGTGGGGCACTCGGTGCCCGGAAGAGCCGGGCCTGGCACAGCCCCCGGCGATCTCGGGGAGCCTGCGGCGGCTGCCCTTCCCGAGCACCTTTTCCTTCCAGGGGAGTACGCGCGGGTGCGGTGGGCACGGGGACCCACACCCGGCTCGGCGGTGAGTGCCCCCCGGCCGCAGCCCCGCCTCGCCCCGCGCGTGACAGCCCTCAGAAAAACTTAATTCTAAACTGCCCAGATGACATGGGACTGCCTGAAAAACAATGGCACGTCATTGTTGGGTTGCTCAAAATGTATGTTTCTCATGCGCCCGGAGATCCTGCATAAGCACTGTTTATGGAGAGCATAATTACTATTTTTGTTAGTTTCGTTAATAGTGAAAGCACACCATTTGGTGGCCCGCTCCAGCGATTTCATAATAAGCAGCCTTCATTAATAATGCGTATGAGAACGGTCTTTCCAGAATGGGTTGAGGATATCTGAGTTCAGACTGTTGTTCAAGTGTCAACCAACTGCCAGGATTTAGTGGATCCAAACCTACCAAAATATTTAACGATAAAAATAAACAAATGATTCAAGACCAGACTTCTTTGTGTAGGCCTGTCTCTACAGTGCCATTTCATTTTTTTTTCTTTTAATCAAAAGAAAAAAAAAAGTGACGGCTACATTTTAATTATGGCTTTGGTCATTTGTAGAGTCTTTGTTTTAGATTTCTGCTACAATAGTGAGAGATTTGGGAGATTGTAAATGAACATGAATTTAGCTTGTTTGGAAAGAGAATTAAGACAGAGGAAAAGCGGTCTTTTTGGAGCACTGTGTCGTGTTTATTTTCATCTTTTACAATATAATTTCTGCAAGTGCTTTTGGGGATTATTTTGAAGTTTTTTTTTTTTAACTGAAGAATGTGCAAGTCAAAAGTTTAAGTGGGAAACATTTTGTTGTCTAGGAAATAAGCGGATGATTGATCGTTTAAAAGTTTTTTTTTTGGGGGGGGGTCGTGATACATAAGAACACATTAAGGGAAGTAATAACCAAATATTAAGCACACAGATTTAGATCTAAAAATGGATGGTCAAAGATCTTGGGAACTGAGGGACCTTCTTGCCAAATAAGGAAACTTGGCAAGCTGCAGTGTGTATTTTAAGTCGGTGCAGAGTGAGCGCGATTGGCAATACTTTGGCTCAGTGCCTATCTGGGCTAAGCAGTGCCACTGAGTCTGATAGGGGCGCGGAGCTATGCACAGGCGTTACGAAGGGTGTGGGGTGAACAGCTGGATCATCCGAGGAGACACTGGAGAAAAGAGGTCAGACGAAGCTCGCAGTGTGCCCAGCGGAACGGCCAGTGGAGTTTAGAGCTTGACACACTCGGAGAAGCGTCAGTGAGTTCTTCTGTTAAGCTGGGAAAAGGAGTTTGTGGTGATACAGTATAGCTGGACTGAGAGAGCCTCTGTACCCTCAGATGTTGGGAGTCAAAGTTGGGATCATTTGTTTTCCATTTTATTCTGCCCAGGACAGATCGACAAGGGGCGGGGCCTGGTCCATCTAAATATAATAGCAACAAGAGACACCTTCCATCGGACTGTGGGGAAGATTTAGGCTACTTCCTTTGTGGCTGTTAACTTTGGCCCACTACGCATAAATAAGCATCGTTCCAGCTGTATCCAAAGTTGTTACCTATGCAGGGAAGACAGCCATCCATGCCAGAGCCTGATGGTTTGGCTGGTACTACAGGGGCTTTTGTGTCAGACCCTCCTAGAGACAGCTGAAGCATTGGGTACACCAGGAGGTAAAAAAAAAAAAAAAAAATCCCCACCCACTAAAACACTGTGAGAACCAGGAGCCACAAATCGGATACTTAACCCATTGACACCATTGCTAATAGAAAACCAAAGCCTCAAATATGTGGATAGGAAGCAATCTAGTCATTACCCTAATAAGAAATGAGTCAGTTTATAGAAAAAAAAAAAAAAAAAAAAGGACCATTAGGAGGCAGGAAATGCTGAGGTGGAAGAAAAGGAGGGGACCCACGTGGAATCCCAGTGGTGTCATATGAAAATGAGGCTTGGCCAGCCCATCACACCCTTGGGAGACAGTGATAGCTGCTTCCTGGGGAGAGGTCTATGAGACAGCATGTGGAAATGCTTGGGCTCGTCCCTGAAGTCCCCGAGGCTCCAGCGACCGGGACTGAGTGCAGAGAGGGCTTTCCCACATTTCTCAAGCTGTGCATAACTCTGCTCTCCCTCCCAGGCAAGGCTTGCCCACAGTGTTTTGCCCTGATCCTTTCGTACTAAATGTATATGCTGAGAGTGGATGGAATTTTCCTACCCGATCCTCTTTGTATACAACGGTTTCCCAAGTGACTCTGTAATATTGTCTGTTGGGAATGAATTTGAAGATTAATACACTTAAGTATGTATAGGAAGAGCTTGGAAGTTAGGGGAACATGGGAAGGCTATGACTGAGAAGCCAGAGCTAAGATCACTTGGAACCATTCATAGGGCTCGTTTTAAGTAGCTCCTGTCTTCAGGGTCCCAGCTCAGGACTCCACACAGGAAGCACTAAAGGAGAAGGAACACATTTATCTCTAGGCCATGGAGTAAATATTTGCTATCAAAATACCCTACTGTGAAGGAGAGTGTGTCCCTTTGAGGATCTGCAGATACACCCATAAGCACCTCCAATGTGGGCAAACGTTTGCTTTAAAGTCTTGCATTTAACCTTAAAAATCCACATGGACTTTCCACACTTGTCTTCCTCAACTGAGCAAACCAATCTAAACAGACACATTCATTCCTCCACATCTGAAAGTCGGATGAGTGCTGTGGGACTCACCCACCTTCTCTGCCTATGTGGGAATAGACACATGGGAAGATGGCGTTGGCCCTGTTAAGGTTTGTAGCCCAGCCTGATGGAGGAGGGAATGTGACTCCATTTTGCTAGGGACAGAATTGAATTAGTTCATCATCCCAAGAATCTGTATGGCCTGTGCTTATCCTGATGGTCCCACGAAGGAAAGAGCCCTTTGCTTTGGGGATGGGAGAGAAGAGTTCAAGATGGACATTAGAATGCAGACCTCTCCAGCTATGCAAGATGAATTTCAAGAGTGTGGCCCAAGAACTTCCATTATTTCCATCGAAGATACGGATTCCTGAACACCGCCCCTCCATGTTTACCGTCAGGTGCGTCTCCTAGTAGAGGGAGGTGGTCTATTGTGCAAGCCTGGTTCGTCACTGTGCCAGTGAGGCTGAAGGAGACCTTAGAGACACATCCATTCTTAGCTCGCTGATACAGGATCTCCACTCCATGCCTCCCCCTCCTCCTGTTGAACACTCAGAGATGTGTCACTCACTGCCCAGAGGGCGGAAGAGTTTCTTGTGGCTCGAGTCACCAGCGATTGTGGCATTTGTACCCACAGATCATTTTTACCTCTCAGTCAGCAAAGGATAATGCAGGTCTTGCTCTGGACTGATTTGAATAGCCCCGGGTCTGTCTTAGCCTTCATCTTCCTTCAGATGACCCGGTTCTGACCCGCATATGGACCCACGTTAGGAAGCATTCCTTCTAGGTAACCAGTCTGAGGTTGCACCTTGTTTGTCGGAAGCCAGGCTGCTTGGGTATTTCCCATTTGACAGGGACAGTGCTGGAGTAGAGAACTATACAGCAAATCCCCACGATGAGTGGGAGGCTGGATTAGGAAGTGGGCCTCTTACGCAGACGAGCACCACCCCCAGGCACCTGTGCGTGCTTCTAGACAGCCCCAGAAATATGCCCTCTCGGTGTTCCCCATCTTTACTCAGGGACAGTCCCATCTCCTCTCTTTCCACGAGAGCCCCTCCAGTGGCCTGGGACGTGGATGTGCTTACCTTTTGTTTCCTAGTTGGGCTTTTTCTGACACAGACTCATTTCTCACAGCGTCTCTCCACCAACCACTTCCCTGCTTCTTATTTATTTTATTTCTGCTAACAGCATTTCTGGCAAGGAAGCATGCCATGGGAGTTGATTTCTATTTATTGGGATATTAATGGATGAATAAGAATGTTTCGTTTAACTAGCTTGTTTTTATTTTAACCTTTGCTCCGACTGAAGAATTATATTACTTATATGGTAAAGCACAGATAGAGACGGGAATCGTCTCCTCAGCTACCACGCCGGAAGAAGTCCTGTTTCCTGGGCTCAGCCTATTTTATGTGAGCGCTGCTTTTCTGGAAGCACTTTAGAAGAAAATAGCAAAGTAGACACACTTCTAGTTAGTTTTATTCATAGACCTACTTTTGCAGCTTTTATCGTTAATGATTTTTTTTTTTTAAAGAAAGACACAGAGCAGTCTGTTCAGGAATTGCTTCTTTAAAATCTCTGACCCTGACATTATGAAGAAATACATCAAACCAAAGATTTCCCCGTTCTTTAAAAAAGATTCGCCCTTAGAAGAACACAGGACAGTAATTCCAAACAGCGTTGTAAAGCACGTGGCAATAAGCGGTTTTGATTCATGTACTTACTGAACTGTATGAAGAAACACCCTTCAGAGCCAGGCTGAGGGCTGCTTTTGAGACGTCATCTTTAAGGTTTTTTTATTTTTTATTGTGTGTGTATGTGTATGTTTGGACATGTCAATGCTTGGAGGTCAGAGGACAAGTGTGGGAGTCAGTTCTCCTCTTCTGCCACGTGGGCTCCTGGGATCAAACTCAGGCTTGCTTGCAAGTGCTCCTACCTGCTGAGCCGTCTTGCTGATGCAAGAATCCTTTCTTCTCCTCTCCCTCCCCTCCCCTCCCTTCCGTGCATATGTGTGGTGTATTCATATGTGTGTGTGTGCTTGCGCATGGGCAAGTGCATGCAGAGCCAAAGGAAGATGTTGGGTGTCTTCTATCTCTCTTTGCCTTATTTTTTGAGACAAGGTTTCTCACTGAATCTGAAGCTTGACATTTTGGCTAGACTGGCTGGCTAGTGAGCTCCCAGAATCCACTTGTCTCTGCCCCCAACCCCAGCACTGGGATTAAAGGCATGCATTGCCATGCGTGACTTTTATATAGGTGCCAGGGATTTGAACCCAGATCCTTTTGCTTGCACAGCAAGTGATCTTATCCACTGAGCCATCTCTTCAGCTCAAGAAATCTCTTTAAAAGTTTATCTTGATCACGATGACGCAAATTAGTTTTTCTTCTTATGTTGTGCCAGAAATAAACTTATAACTACTTTTGTGAAGAATGACAAAAGGGAAGTATAAATTATGGATGGAAAAAGAGGAAGTATGTGTATTAAAAATAATGGGTCCATATATCCAAAGAGAAAAATCCAGAGAAATTCCAGACTCTATTTGTAGAGTTAATTTAATTTCTTCATTACAACGTGGAGGTATTTGATAAAGCAGGTTATAGTTTTGTTGAATCAGGCACCCATGTGGTTTGAGTAGCTAAGGTCAGAAAGTGAGTACTGTAATTGAATAAATATGCCCTACAAATACTAGTACCTAAAAGGGCAAAGGAAAAAAAATCTTCTGGTAACTTAAATAGGATTCATCTCTATGAAAAACAGTTTGAAAGGAAAAAAAATATATAATTATAGCTAGGCATGTTGGTGTACATCTTTAACTTTGGCACTTGGGAAGCTGAGGCAGGGGGATCAAGGTTCAAGTTCAAGTTCAAGGCCGGCCTGGACAACATAGTGAGACCTTGTCTGCGAAGTAAATAAATAATCCTTGCTAGTAAGATAGGTTTTGCACAAGGACTCAACCTCCAAAGGGAGAGCAGACAAAAGGGTGAGAAGAAATTAAGATTCATAAACGCAGAAGAAAAGGACGTAGACATCCAGGGGCATTTGTTAATACTTGTGCAGGCATAAGTGATTGAAATAAAATAGAACGCAGTTCTGAAAGGGGGGGAGGGGAAACACGCCAGATAGGAGGGCTGAAAGGATGGATGGCATCAAAGCTTGTGACAACACTTAGAAAGCCACTCTTGCCACCTGCTGTGTGTGGATTCCTTGCTGGGCATGCGCGAGGCCCTTCCACACCGCCCCTGCCTCCCGACCAAGAGCGAAGAGCTTTACAGAAGCACAGTCCTTCACCGGAGCTGAGCTCTGGTAGCTGGTCCTTGGGATCTGCGGCTAGCTCTGGCTAACTGGGTCTCTGCTGTGCTGCTCATCTGTGCTTAGAAATAACGTTTCCCGGTGCCATCAGGGTTATCAAATGGAAGCGTCTCAAATCCTTGTTCATGAGGTTTAGAAATGCCATCGTTGGAGGAAAAGGGATTGTTTCCAGGGAGGTGGAGGCAGAATTCAACTTAGTCCCATCTAATTTTAAAACTTTGCACTTCAAATGTGAGACCTTCAAGTAGTCTTTTTTTTTTATTTATGTTTTTAATTTTTGACAAAAATAAAGTGGGGCATGTCGACAGATGACTGACTTGAGACTGATGCCACTTCAAAAAATCAAGAAGCAAAAGCCCTCTGGGTTAATTAAGTCCTGACCCCAGCCCCTTTTTTGAGAAGATGGGTAACTAAAAAGTAAAATAATTCTGTGTTTAAGGTTTTTCTACCTTTATATGGTTCTGCTTTTGTAATTAACTAGATGGTACTATATATATGCTTTTTATCAGTTTAGTTAACAGTTGAATTTATTTTTGTATTTTTAATTTAGGGACATTTTTAAAATTACAGCGTTTTGGCTACTGCTCAAGTAAGCAGATGGCTGGACTTCACCAACTTGCTACTGTTTTCAAAACTGTGACCCCTTATTATGTTTTGATTTTAGTGATAGTCCTATTCTGAGTCCACGTGCAATGCTGTGTGATCGGCTGGATTATGTAAAAGCCGGTCTTCGGACACAGCGGGTTGAAAGCATTGTATATGGCCTGGGACCCTTTGTAAGTAAATGGGTACAGATGGCTCCCTGCTTAATAGAAGGCTCCACTGGTCTAGACTAGTAGATTTATTTCTGAAAAACTAGAGCGTCACTTGGTCAGGTCTTGATGCTATAATTTGATCAGCATCTTCCCCAAGATGCTCTGGGTTTAGTTAGCAGCAACTCATCTTTCATTCTTCTCCTCATAAGCTGATCTTCTTTGAACAGCAACTTAAAATGAAAGGGGAAGTGATATACATACGTAGCCTGGCATATGTGCATACATACATACATACACGTGTATGCATGCATGCGCACGCACGTGTACACAGACGCACACATATACGTGTATATACACACATATATAATATGTATACACACACATATGTATGTATACGGGGGTGGAAAGCTAAACCAAACTTTTCCACGGAAGGGTGTGATGCCTTGCTGAGCTCGTTGGAGTAAAATCTGAACTAGACACTCTAAAATTGTTAATCTCTTCAGAAATCAAGAAGGAACTTAGTTTTTTTTACAATCTCAATAATACATCCAATAGTTCGTAGTTCATTCATCTAGAGCCAATCCCCAAGCAGCAGGGTGTGTGACCGTGTGAGCAATCGATGTGGGAGACCGTGCCTTGTTGCCTCTGTCGGGGTGGCGATCATAGCCGAGGGCTCTGGCCAGCGGGGTCAAGGTAGTTCTTAGCGATCTCATTTTTCTTTGGTTTGGAAAGGGTTTCTCTCTCCCTCCTCTAACTCAGTCCAGACTAAGAGGCACACAGTCCTGGAGGTCCCAGGTTTCCCAAGAAGCCTGTGGCAGCTTCTCAAACAGGATTAGGTTTAGAGTCCTCTGAGGGCACCATGAAAATGGCAGGTCTCCCTTTCCTTAGTTTGATTGAAATCTTTGCAGCTGCAGGCATTATAATGGGAAAATTAACTAAAATCCAGTCATTCAACAGATAGTTTGGAGTAGAAAATGTACACACTGCCTGTTTGGCTTTAAGTGGGGTACTGAATACCCAGGTACAGAGAGAAATGACTTTTGGGTTTAGGGAGTTTATGTTCTGGTGGGAATTTGATGGGAAAGATGAGTAGATAAAAAGAATGCAGTTTTTCATATGGGCTTCAAAGACATGGTTAGGGACAGGTTTGCTAGGTAGAGATAGGTGTTTGAAGCGGACATGTTGCCTGCGCCCAGCGTGGGGATGTGACAGAGGTCAGCACGTAAGGGGAGCCTGCAAGCAGCACTTCACACATGCGTGAGAAATAAGACACGGAATAAAAGTGGCTCGAGTGGTAAAGGAACACGAGACAATTGAGATTCAAAGGC